CAGAGGAGGACCACAGTTTCCACAGCACTTAGGGCAAAAAAGCAGTAAGAGTCTAAGTAGTTCAGATCTCAAATGGGAAACAGAAAGAAGAGTGATCAGCTGTTCTTTAAACATTAGATAAATACAATTGACTTGCATCTCCAAATCATCTACCCTTTTGCAATGAATTCAGATAATCTTGGTACTTGAGTTGTCCTCAGATCACTGATGTAATCAAGTTCAAAGAGCTAACTTCTATTTTGGAAAATCAACCAATTCCAGAGATAGACTTCTATGCTAAATGAAAGCTACCATCCATCCCTCTAGAACTAGAATTAATAGGATATGTCTATATTTTCACTTAGTAAAACTTTACTGAGTAAAAATTGGCTTAGTACTCAGAACAATTGAAATGAAACATTTGACATTCCTGCAGAACTTTGGATACGCCAAGAGAGAGAAAAAAAATTGGTTGTGTCAACACAGGGACAAATACTTGCTTCAAACTGAAATTGGAAAATACAGCTATGCATGATGTAAAGGCAGCCATAGCAAGAGGATTCTCAGGAAAGCAGCCTACTGGATGATTGCTTTCCAAATATAAACTGACTTTGCACAAGTGTTATTGATCATCATTTTTGGAAAAACATTTAGAATGTCGATATTACTAGAATGGTGTTCTACTTCAGCCAGAACATGGCAACAACTTCATTAATCAAAACCAGTAGACACCAGAAAATATGAGTGAACTGACAAATCTTTCTTAGTCCTTGTTCACAGTAAAACTTGTAATATAGATCAGAGAACTTGTAGATATTAAATTTCAAGGCACTACTAAGAAGTCGATCATTCCCAAAGATGTCTAGCAAATAATTCATTCAGTAACTTCCTTCACTAGTAAAAAGATTTAAAATTATTGAAGGAAAGCACTTCCTGGGCCTCTCAAGACTTTTATGGAGTCTTGTGGAGAGAACAAACCCTCGACAGAGCAATCAGAAGAATGTTCAATCACATCAAGAGGCTGGTGAAATAAAAGAAGCAGCAAGTTTCAGGAATGGTCAGAGATTAGAAATAGAAGTGTAAATAGAGCATATGATGAACTCTCCTGCATATTATGTGAACAACTAGCAGGGCTGAAATCAAATTAAATTTTTAACTGCAGAGAAAGTAAAGCCCATCCGGAATGGGGGTACAGTTTTATTTCCACTTGAGAAACTCACTGTCCTCTAAGCCTTACAGTGCTGAATGACTAAAGAGACACACTACTGCTCTTGGGTACCCACAGAAAATATGGTAATTTTACATATTTATTAAACATTTTGGTTCTCAGCTTTAATCATGTATTACTCATGATCTGTTAAATCAGGATTTTCTAGAGTATCTTGCATGACATGATCAAATTTCCATTGAATTCAACACAAACCTTTTCTGCAGTGAGTATGAGAATGATGCTTTAATGATAAAACACGTCTCTACTTGCTATTTCTCCCAGCCTCCATATATTGAAAGCTGATGTAGAGTACATATGGGAAAATGATGATCCAAAAGATAACAGAGGAATAGACTGACTTGGTTAGGAATGGATTAGAGATCACAGAACAACCTAGCCAAAAAGAAAAATCCTACTGGAGACTTCTGATACCTTCAGTAGTGCTTATGAGCATCACTGTGCTCTTCTCCTAGCAGTTTGTAATTTAATTAGCATATTCTATTGCTATTTTCTGCTTCACTAAAGAGACTACCCACTTTACAATAGCAATGTTACTATAAGAATGGATTTCAAACACTCTATTTCACTAGTGCTTCCTAATGTGTGTATTCTGCATTACTCACATGATACTCAGAACTGAAGCCAAATAGCAAATCCATTAAGAAGATCATAAGCCTTATTTTGAGGCCTGATTCTTCAAACTAGACTGCATTTATAAGGCCTTAATCCTCATGCCATTTTAATTTTTGTATAAGAAAAGTCCAATTTAGTTGGCAAATCGTAAAAAGAATTGCAATTAATTTGCTGCTCACCAGTTTTTCCATCATCAACATTCTAAAAGCCCCAGAGAAATTAGTGCATTCAACACTGGAATGAAAGAGGAGATCACAAATTTAAACCTCTCAGATTAATGCAAGACGTACAGTGATGCTGAAAAACTCAAAATGTTGATCTAAATAGGTTAAAACACACACCCTCCCCTGTGTCCAACAGCATAATCCAGCTGTGGAACTATCCTGGCTACTTTAAAAAGTTGTAGTTTAAGAAATGAAATTTTCCTGTCAAGCACACTCATAGAACAACTGAGATGGCCACAAAATTCTTCAAAATGCCAAACAGTGCCCATTTCAGAGAACTTGCCCTTACTTCTGGTTACCATATGGACAGTTCTGAAGCAGATCAGAGTAGACAGTGGGAATGGCCACTCCACAGGAGCACTCCAGCTGTTACTCAGCATCAGGTAACAGATAGCAGCTCATAAAGGCAAAGCAACTGGAGTTTCTGGCTGGTCTATCTCATCAGAAGAGTAGGAATGGTACAAGAAGTTGCAGGAGGAGCTTTTAGAGGAATTGCAGCTTAAATTAGGTGAATTAAATTAGGTGAATAAGGAAATATGAATATGAGCAAAATAAAGAAAATGCGACTTGCTAAAATAAAAATCAAATGGATGTAAATCACTCTAGCCCTAAATAGGCTAGAAAAAACACTAAGGGAGATATGAAAGAATATTCTTCAGGTAGAAGGGAGGAAAATATTCATTTTAGTACAAAGAGTGATCATTTTATCAGCAAGACTATAAAATATAGCTGTTTTGATAAAAAGAGACAGAATAGCATCTCAGGATATATCTTTCAATTGAATGCTCTAAATGGTACGTAAGGGACTTGTTATTCTGTCTTTAATATAATGTTATTAACATTTCTTACACATGTGCAGAAAAGAAATGGAGTCATATTAGGATAAGCATAAAAATCAAATTAGTGGTCTACTGTAGCAAAGTAGACTTGACCAGAGTTAAAATTAATCTAAGGGTTTTTGAGCAGCTGACAGATTCTCTTGGATACAACAACTTTTTTGTGCCTTCTCCCAGGTTATCATTGTGCAATGGGGTCACACACCCTCCAAAACTTGGTCATTAGGGTTTTTCTCCTTCATAATGTTTGTGCAGAAGAGCTAGCAAACCTGCATGTTTAACTTTAGATGCCTCTTCCACACAGGAATCAAAACCTTTCCATGCCACAGATTATTCAAGATGTGTATTTCTGCTTTTCAAATTTCACTGAATTTGTCCCATTTGACATTTCTTTCCCAATTCTGCAGTCTGATCACTCACCCACCTGCCAGCAGGCCGTAACACCAGTTGTTGCTTATTTACTGTGAAAATATTGAGCACAGTAAGGATCCTGCCATGACCAAACAGCACGGTGCCCTCATGCATCATGTAAGTACAGATCACAAGTACCTCAAGAAATTTTAATTGTCAAGAATCTTGCAATCTGTTTTAAAAGGGCTTTAAAATCCAATAACTCTAATGAGAAAAGCATTTGAAATACTTATTTAGTTAATACAGACGGCAGTTCTATCAGAATAAAAAATCTTGCATCTAAGTCTGTACCAAAAGCAAACAGCCATGAATGAAAATAAACAGATAAGTTTAAAAAAATAAAATAAAATTAACATTTAGTCCATTTTAAACAATTTAATAGGAGTATTTCCTGCAATGCTACATACAACTAGTTTAAATAACATTAATAGAACCTAAGAGAAGTCAGAGAACTTGAAGTTAGAAAGATTTCATCTTTCACATAATAAAAGACATAATACATATGATTCATTCAAACAACTATGTCATTTAGCTCTAACAAAAAGCCCAAATAAAAACTTTAAAATGAGAGTGCTAAGTCAGGCATCTAAATCCATGTCTAGGCACTGAATAGCTGGTTTAATTTGCAGAATTACACTTCCAATTTCCACAGAGTTTAAGGCGACCAACATCTGTAGAAGCCCCATTACCACTTATGCATTTAATTAACTTAATTCATTTGAGTAGGTCCATCGAATTAAAAGGGACAATTCATGTCCATAAATTCCAGGACTAATGTTTACAGATTTACAGCTTACATTGATAGGTGGATTTAGTTGTCTAATTTAATTCTCAAAATTAAAAACTTTTGATAATAACATTTGAAATCTGAGTTATGTAATTATGCTTTTATGATGTATGCTGCAGTCTTTAAAAAACACATGCCACGAGGAGTTTCCAGTAGATTATAAACCAGAGCAATCAGTGTACTTTTTTCTAAGTGGTAACCAGAGCCTTCACGATCAATGCATTATCTGAAATACTGTGGTATAGAAATAAGATAAATCATTCAGAAGCAGTCATTCCTTATGAACAATATTATTTCTAGAGCTTGAAAGCAGAAATCCTGTTAGCAAGAACGGAGGTTTCTGCTTGGAAGTGGATGATGTAGACAGCTCTGGAATTTCAAAAGTTTATGTAACTTGCTATGTGCCTAAAATAGCAACATAATCTTTTATCCCCCAAGTTTTAGTCTGGGATAAGCATCTGTGTTTGAATCAACACCTCGAAATACTTCCTTCAAGTCAGGACACTGGCCATCACAACACTGTTAATATGAGTTAGTCCAACGTTTCTTCCAGTTGCTAAATGAAAAGACACTTTCCAGCACATAATTTATCCCTTATTATTGATCAGGTCAGTCTCACGTTCTCTCTCTTCACTACACTCTTCTAATAAATTACATCCGTAAAATAATTAGGTTGCTTTTTTTAGCAGAAAGAAAAAGGGCTCAGTCCTGCAGACACTTTTCAAGTGCCTGATTTTATAAATGATGATATTTCTATTAGCATACATGAAGCTTGTGACAAAACATTTTAACAATCAGGGTACAAATCACTCTAGCAGTTATTATTGATACCAAGTCTGCAGTGGTCAGAGTTACAGCACTGAAATTGCAAGATAAGGACGTACCAGCTAATCAGGTCTATGAAAGAGAACTCATCTGTGGTATCCTATCCACTTCTGTGGGAAGATGAGAACATATAACCACTTAATATTAGGGAAGAAAAACAAGGTAAGTCACTGATTGTTTTTTACCCTCTTTGTCACCACTGAATAAGAAATTAAGAGATTGTTTTGGTTTGCACTAACAGATAAGAAACAGTTCTTTTAAAAGACCAGCTCTTTTAAAAATGTAGAACTTGATAAAGGGTTGATGTGTCCTTCATTGTTTCTGCTCAGATGTTTTCAACTAGCAGCCATCCACCTTGTTTTCCACTCTAAAGGCCTCAAGTCTCCTCCTAGATCCATCCTTTTTTACCAATCCAAACCAAAATGATTAAGGCTGTTTTGCATCTGTGTCAACTTGATTTACTTAGACCAAATGGAACGACCATTTTGAGGACCATCAAGTGGAATGATTGCTCATCTCAGTACTTCAGGAAAAGTCATCGCATCCACTGAAATAATTAATCTCCAACATCGCCATCTCTGTCACCTATGAGCCATAGAAAATGAAAACCTACAGCTAATAAGGCAGTTCCAAGCAGATCTCCCAGTGCAGTAAGATAAGGGATAGAAAAACTGTCAGGATCCTTTCCCTTTTTCCAGAAGTGGTGCACCATCCAGTCAGCAATCCATAACAGAGTAAACACCTATGGAATAACAACCAAAATCTGTATTATTCTCACTTGAATTACACTGTAAAAGAGCCAACAGACAACGACATTCTAGAATTTAGCAATTTTGTACATGAATTTTTGAAAAAATATAAACAATCAATGTGAATTAATTTTAGATTGAAACTACCTAACAGTGGGGACATTTATCCAACTTCTCCTAGAAAATCATGCGCGCAGGGAGAAAGAACACAATGAGTCACTGACAGCATTCTTCCTCCAGTCTATGAGAATTTCTCACAATCGTAAGAACACCAACCAAATGTGCAAATTGCACTTCCTACACATGACATCACTCTGTGTACAGTGAGGACATAAATGGGCTTTCGAGATCACACACAACTGACTGGTGCTACCCAGATGAGAGCACTCAACACAGGCACTGCTCTTGTTTCCACAAATCAAGACCACCAATGAAATCAGACGCGGTATGAGGAATATGGAGTCAAATTAAGAACAACTCCATCTGGATAATGTGAAATACCGAGAATGACCCAGACACTACTTTTGTGTGTGACATACCAATTTCATGTGCAGCCCTGCTGTATGAGGCACACCTGCAATATATATTATGAAACTGTCACTCCAGGCTGAATTTGTCCCAAAGATTCATTCCAAACCGTGAATGTCTGAACATTCTAGAGGTTTGATTTTGATATCAAAGATATGCATAATTATTAACCCAGTTTTAGAAAAGAATTATTTGAATGTTACACAGCTGTATGGTAAAAGATTGCGGTTCAGTGGAATCATGCGGTGTGACACGGCACAAGATGAATGGAGAGAAGACCTCTAACTGAGCTTCCATTTCTTGCGTCTTCTGAAGAGCTGCTTAAACTGAGTTAAGTGTATTTTATGCATTTCAGTTAATCAGATCTTTTAGGAAGGTTAAACTTAAAAAGTTACTACCAAATCCATTTTCAAAAAGTCATACAACATACATATAGAAGAACAGTAACAAAAATAGTATAAGGTAGAAGATTCACATTTTGCTCTGTTAATTATCAATTCTTGGAATTGAAAACGTGCGTATATGTATGCATTTGTTAAACGAAATACTGAAATGATATCTGCCAAACATTCCCCATAATACAAAATACTGTACAACAAATATCAAAAAAGAGAAAAAAAACTTTTTAAAAAGTTCAAATATTCCATCTTTGCTCTGCAGAAGTATATTTTAAAACACAAACCCAATTTCTAATTACAAAAAAAAAAAAAAAAAAAAAAAGGGGGAGGAGGGAGAAGGAAGAATATTTGCTTAATGAAAAATGCATGGCTTATTTATCTAAACATATCTTCTGAAAAAGGAACTCTGTAGTCTAAGCTAATTATGCAAGTCCTAGGTGCGCTGACTGGAATCCAAACAAATATATTTAAAACAGATGTTTTCTTTGGAAGACTATCAGATTCTTTGAGTCAGCTCCTTCTTCTAACACGGACAAAAAGAGGTCTGTTTATGAAAGACACTGCATAGTAACATCACCTACAGGATGCGCACAATACTCTGCAGTGCCCCACAGCTACTGTAGCTCTGCTACTGTATGTGCTATTAGAAGATGAGAGCATTCACTGGAAAAGTAACTCGTATTTCACAATCATTAACACATGACATACACAACCCAACTGAAATAGCAGTGTATATTTCTGTATTTCAAAAGTAATAACATGAAAACTTATCATTTGCCTATACACTTTTGACCCTAAAGCAACGGACTCTGACTGTTGACAAGAATATGTAGTTTGGAAATTAAGTTTTGTGAACCTTCCCAAATAATTTCTTTTGGCATGTTAGCTTATGGGTATATATCACACAACACAAATTACAAGAAACCCGTAATAGGAAAGAAGTTGTAAGATGATATTGTGTCAACTGATCACTGCAACGGTAGATGATGGCAGTTGAGACACAGCACTTACAGGGTAAGTTATGAGACTGCAGTCTATTAGCCTTTATTTGGAGGAAGGAATAAATAATGTTATTATTGAGCATTTGCACACCTAGAAGCTCACTAACATTTAAGAATTGTACAGATCTGATTTTGGAAATGGTAAGTAGTCGGTAAGAAATATATGGCCACAGTGTTGAAAGGCAGAAGTCAATCAATGTAACTTAAATCTTAATGAGATTTTGCTTCCAATCAATGTTAGAAGGAGGAAATCAAAGTCATCAACCAACAAATTTTGTCAAATTTTTGGCTAAAAATAAGCAAAACTTCTACTATGAGTTTGCTGACTTTTTTTTGAAATTAAGACAATTCTTGCATTTCAAGTGATAAGAAAAGTCATTTGCAAAGATCTCACAGGTGAAATAAAAGGAGAAGTGTAAAGGAGAGCAAAGACTAATAAAAAGGAAAGGTTTCTTAGGCACAGGTGGAAAGTTACATAAGAGACATTTTAAGACAGTGTAGTGGCACAGCACTTTCCATTTGCAGGGATCTGTCAGTGACCTATACTCATTTCAGCAAATTCACACATATGGCATAGTAGTATAAGTACAGCTTACTTCTACTCAGCTCTCATTCTACAAATAAGTCTTCATAGCTCAAGTTGAAAGCCAACTGTTCTTGAGGGAAAAAACGAAGTTGTCATCAGTACTGAAAAGCCATAAAAAGCCCATAAAATGCTGTAGGAAAGTGAGAAGAAATGCTTGAAAATGTATGCAGAGCTGTTGTTTTAGTTTAAAATATTAGTTCACATCTATTTAATATGAAGAGAACAATGCAGTGCTTTTTGAAGGAAAAAACAAAAAAAGTAGAATTATGAAACAATAGCATAGGAATTCTTCAGGACTGAAGAATGAGATAACCCTGTGGTTTAAGGAAGGTAAAAACTGATGAAGTAGCTATTTACATGGGTTGCTCCAAAAGTAATGCCTCCTATTTATTTCCATGGAAAATTCAACGGGAACCAAGAACACAATAACACTATTTGATAGAGCAAATACTCAGCTAACAATTACTGTTTTTAAACACAGACACCACCACTAGCTGCGCATTTTCACCAAGATCCTGTATGCTGTGCTTGTAACAGTTTGCATCAGTGGAGGTAAACCACCGCCACTACTGTTGAAACGCATCTCCTACAGCCTAAGTACATCCACTGTTTGGTCTCCACAGATGTTCAGCAAACATCAGTGGATGTCAATGGGTGCCATTTTTTCCACGTAGATGAACTCAGTGACACAGCTTTGCTTCATACACACTTCCATGTCAGGCGCCAGTCTGTCAGACTGCCCCTACGCTGCCGTCTGCTGCACAGCAACAAAACATAATGGAATACTGATGGCAGGTTCTGCCTCTACTGCCATCCCACCAACATCCACCTCTGACATCACGGGACAATATAAAAAAAAATAGGAAATATTTATTTTAGAGCAGACCCTGTATAATTATTACTGAAAACCTCCACTTAGGGATCTCTAAATGTGTCCTGACTGACATCATTCTCATCTGAGTTATGGTTTAGGTTTTTAGTGGTTTTGACCCTTCATTAAGTTAATGATGAAATCACACATTTCCTCAGATTTTAAATATCTTTGGATGTCTTAATTCAAAACTAAGAAGTAACTGTAAAGCACTCAATAAATTTACACTGAACTTATTTGCTGAATCTCCGTGGTATACAGCCAAAATTCTGTAGGCTAAGCAGGGTCTACATAGCAACAGATCCAAGGAAACAACTCAGTATCTATTGTATGGGAACTGCTGAGTCAGGGCCTGAAGGTCTGATTGATCACCTGAGGCGAGCCATGAGTCAGCCAGAGGAGCACAGGTGAAGACAATTCACCTGCTCTGCCTGGCTCCACCCCTCCTAGACCTATTGAAGAGCTGGCTACCAGTGGGGAAGGATCTCTTCTGGAGATCATCTCTGCTGCTGTTTTGTGAGTGAGCCCAGGATAGGGGTAAGCCTTCTATTTATTCTTTTCTTGTTATCATAGTCTGCTTTGCCTAACTCTCTTGTTTATTCTGTGATTATAACATCCTAATATTCTCTGATTATACATCTATCTTCTCCAAAGAAGCAATTGCTTTCTTCAGTGTCTGGCTATAAAAATCCCCATAGTTCTCTCTTGCTATTGGTATTTTGGTAATCTTGTGATTTGGATCCACTGATTTAATTCCTTTGGTAGCAAATATAGATACCTTTCAGAAGATCCAGCCCACTCATTAGACAACATCTTGCTTCTCCAATAACTCTCATCAATAACAAACACACTTCATTAGCTTTCTGTCCTTCTGGACTCTATCCAACATGTAAACAGATATACCAAGGAGTTGTGGCATGTCTGTACACGAAAGTCTCACCAGTTTAACTTAAATCAGTTTCCAAGCTGATTTAGGACTTTGGCTAATGAGATTTGGAAACTCCTGATATAGCCAATTAAGACATTATAAACTCCAACAGTCTTTTAGAATCTACTGCCACCATTCTGAGGTAAAGAAAAGGCAACACATATGTCTGTGTCTGACATTCCTTTTTCAGCCTTACACAGAAGACTGGCATTACATTGCCAGTAATGGTGATGTAGTACTTCTAAGGTGGACTGTGGTCAGGTGTGGATATGTCCTGCCACATGTCATTCTAAGGACAGAAGCGGACAGAAAAGAATGAGAAAAATGGGCTGAAGAAAGAGAGTATCAACATCAACTATCAGAAATAGTTGCTCTTTGTCATTTCTTAGACAATCTATAATATAAAGCTTAAGAAAATTGCCATGAGACTTAAATTCAGTTCGGTTTTCTATTGCTTCCCTCTAACTGCAGCAAATCTACTGGGAGCAAGGACAAAAAATAAATATCTAAGGTGTGGGGGGCAGAATGGCGAGGCCAGACTGTTTTCAGTGGTGAGTGGAGACAGGACAAGGGGAAACGGCTGGAAACTGCAGCATAGGAAGTTCCACACAAATGTGTGCAAGAACTTCTTTACAGTGAGGTGACGGAGCACTGGAACAGGCTGCCCAGGGAGGTGGTGGA